CTGGATGAGTAATTCTGATGCCCAGGTTGATATTCTGAGGTCTCGCCATGGCACATGGTGGAATTTAAATTCAATGAATAAATATGGAATCATAAGCTATTCTTCAGTGGTGGTAACCATGAAATTATCATTCATTGTTGTAAAAACCCATCAGTTTCACTAACACCCCTTTAGGGAACGAAATCCGCCATCATTACCTGTTCTGGCTTTTTTGTGACTCCCAGACCACAGAGCTGTGGTACTATCAACTGTCTTCTGATATGGTTGAGCAAGCCACTCAGTTCAAAGGCAAGTACGGATGGGAAATAAATGCTGGCCTTACCAGTGACAGCCATTACCCATGAAAAAATATAGAAAGAAAATAAAATATACTGACGATAGGGATATAAGAAAGTGATTGTTGGTTGGATTCTCTCTACATTTCAGGCCAAGCCACTGTAAAAGAAATTGATAAGGCACCACGATTGCTAAGACGGTGAATTATACAATGTTAAATTTACCAGGGCCTTTTATTATCATGGTGAAATAGGTATATACACTGAAACATGTTGACAGGAAGTGTCTGCAGCCCTAAGCAATGTATTGTAGGTAATAACAGATGACTTCAGGTGGTGTATATTTTCCATAATCTGACTCTTCAATATTTCTCACGCTAACTCATCTATCCCAGCTAACTCATTTTGCAAATATCGGAGATTCAAAATTGGCCCTTTTACCCCCTCACTTCACACTGCCCAAGGCCTGAAACACTCCCTCCAGGTGAAACTATGATTAACTTGCAATTCTTTCAATGCATTTCACTGTTCACATTGCAGTCCCTGTAGATGAGGCAGATCAAAATCAGGCTGAGCAATTGCTTTGCACAATACCTCCTCCAGTTTTAAATGTGACCCTGAATTTCCCGTAACCTCTCATTTTAATTCTATCCCCATTCCCACTCTGACCTCTCTGTCATCAGCTTCCTATAATGTTACAGTGAAGCTCAATGTAGGGGCAACTAAATCCGTTTCCTACTTTCCATTTAAAGGACTGCTGACAATGCTCCTCACTCTCATCCAATCATATTTCCATTACCTCCATGGTACAGACACTAGGCTGGTGCCAACATGTGCCAGCCTAACTTGTCAGAGATAGTAGGAACTGCAGATGCTGGAGAATCTGAGATAACAAGGTGCGGAGCTGGATGAACACAGCAGGCCAAGCAGATCATAGGAGCAGAAAGGTTGACGTTTCGGGCCTAGACTCTTCATCAGAAATGGGGGAGGGGAAGGGGGTTCTGAAATAAATAGGGAGAGAGTGGGAGGCGGATAGAAGATGGATAGAGGAGAGGATAGGTGGAGAGGAAACAGACAGGTCAAAGAGGCGGGGATGGAGCCAGTAAAGGTGAGTGTAGGTGGGGAGGTAGGAAGGAGATAGGTCAGTCCAGGGAGGATGGACAGGTCAAGGGGGCGGGATGAGGTTAATAGGTGATGGGGGTGCGGCTTGAGGTGGGCTTGATTTAGCCAGCAATGCCCTCTAGTGGTTTAAGTCTAAAGTAACACACGACAATTAAACGATAAAGAACTTGATTCATATCATGCCTTTCATAACCTCAGTGTAATACACTATAAAGACAATTAGGTATTATTATACTGTTGTAATGTAGCACCAGCAAACCTACAAAACAGCAAAGTGATAATGGACAGATAATCTGTTCTTTATTGGTGTTGACTGAAGGACAAAGGTTGACCAGGACACTGGGGTGGTCTCTAATGCTCTTTCTCCCTGCCATGGATCTTTTACATTGCCCTGGCAGGGAAGGTAGGCCCTCGGTTTAATATCTCAATGGAAAGTTGGCAGGAAATAGATGCCCAATAGAATTGAGAGTGCAATGCAAGAGAGTTGCTGCTTCAAAATTCAATCACTAATTCTCATCAATGTTTTCTTTCCCCCACTTTCATTCCACTGATTTACATGGGAGACCATAAAGAAGATATTGAAGTTAATTAAAAATTCTCAATGTTCAAGGTGTCCAACCTTCTTAAGACCCTATTTCAATATTGTTTTTTTTTTCTCACTCACATGGCCAGAGAACAAAGTTTGGAAAAATAAGACATTAGAAATTTATTGACACTGGCGGATGGACCACATGTTGGACAACTGTGTTAGAAACTATCTGTATTACCTTACAGGTATGTTGAAGGACTTTTGTTGGTTACATCACATGATTTTACTGGTGTGTCTTTTGATATATTCTGTTCTCAATTCTATTGGGCATCTATTTCCTGCCAACTTTCCAAGATGATCAGAACCCTTGGACATATTTGATATAGATGTGTAATTAGTTAATACCTGCCAGGTTACTATGAAATCCCAGTGAGATCCATTCCAGCTGCTGAGGGGTTTACAGCATTAGACGGAGGAAATACTGCAAGGCACACTGTCTGAGTTTCAGAAGCAACTGAAGGGTGCCACCAGATCCAGACACAGTCAAACCAACTGAGATCTGGCCAATGAGGCCAGAGTGCTGGAGAAACTCAGCAGGCCTGGCAGCATCTGGAGACAGAGAAACAGACTTAATGTTTTGAGTCCAATATAAAGAGTCGTACCGGACGCAAAACGTTAATTCTGTTTCTTTCTCCGCAGATGCTGCCAGAGTGTCTGAGTTTGTCTAGCACTTTGTGTTTATTCCAGATCTCCAGCATTTGCAGTAGTTGGTTTTTACTTGAGATATCATCAAGCACATGGGGAATGCCACACTGTGCCAGTCAATAGGAATGTGTGCTTGCTACCAGTTGATACACAGGCCAGATAAAAATGTTGGCATGCCAGCTTGTTGAACATTGGACACCTCTGCTCGAGATAGAAGTGGTTTAACATATAACGTGTTTGACCAGTTTATCAGTGAATGGATTTACAACAAAACACAAGTTGGAATCCAGCAACCCCAAGCAAAACAGTGACCCCAAACACCTTTACAGTAGCCTCAGTATGACAGCAGCAAACTTCTTTCATGGCTGCAAGAACTACTCCTTCACAGAGAGAGCATGATATTAACTCACAAGGTAATACTTGCACCTTTGAGAACATAGCTGTACCATATTTGAGCAATTACATTTATACAAGGTGATGGGCCTCTCCTGCTGTTAACTGATTCTGTGGTGGAGGAGTTAATTTAAAAGATATTGTATTATCAAAATAACTCACATCAGTCGCTTTCTTCTCTGCTATTTCCAGCTTTCCATGAGTATCTCGCAAGGATTCAGAGCACTTGTCAAGCTCATCTTCAGTTGCTTTTTGCTTCTTCTGCAAGCTAATGATCTCTTCTTCCAGCTAATAAAATCAAAGATCACATTAATAAGTTCAAGAACGTGCAACAATACAACAGAAAATATTTCTGAGCAGTCACTTGTGAGAGGTTTCGAGTACAGGAGCAGGGATTTGCTGTTGCAGTTGTACAGGGCCTTGGTGAGACCACACCTGGAATATTGTGTGCAGCTTTGGCCTCCTTTTCTGAGGAAGGATGCTCTTGCTCTCGAGGGAGTGCAGCAAAGGTTTACCACACTGATTCCGGGGATGGCAGGACTGATGTATGAGAAGAGATTGACTAGTTTAGGATTGTTTTCGCCGGAGTTCAGATAAATGGGCGGTGGGGGGGGAGCTGTTTCTCATAGAGACTTATAAAATTCTAACAGGACTGGACAGCATAGATGCAGGGAGAAGACAGTGTGGAGCTGGAAGAACACAGCAAGCCAGGCAGCATCAGAGGAGCAGGAAAGTTGACATCTCGGGTCAGGGCCCTTCTTCAGAAATGGCACCTGCAGTTCTTGCTATCTCTCCATTCAGGGAGGATGTTCCTGATGGTGGGTGTGTCCAGAACCAGGAGGTCACAGTATGAGGATTCGGGGTAGACTATTTAGGACTGAGATAAGGAAATGTTTCTTCACCCAAAGAGTGGTGAGCCTGTGGAATTCATTACCACAGGAAGTAGTTGATGCCAAATCATTGAATGTATTCAAGAGGTGACTACATATAGCACTTGAGGTGAACAGGATCAAAGGTTATGGGGAGAAAGCAGGATTAGGCTGTTGAGTTGGACGATCAGCCATGATCGTGAAGAACGGCACAGCAGGCTTGAAGGGCCAAATGGCCTCCTCCTGCTCCTCTCTTCTGGGTTTCCATGTTAGTATGCATTTATTTTGCTGCTATTTTAATGCTAAATACCAACAATATATGTGACTCACTTGGTAACAGACTTGCCTCAATCTGAATTCAAGTCCTACTTCAGGGTCTCTGTGCAAAAAAAATCAAGGCCAACACTGGATAGTTCTGAGAGAGTGCTGCACTGTCAGAAGTGTTGTTTCTCAGCTGAAATGTTAAACTCAGGCCTCATCTGCCTATTTGGGTAGACACAAAAGACACCTTGGCAGTATTTTGAAGAAGCGCAGTAGAGTTATCCCCAGGGTTGAGGCCAATACTTATCCCACTGTTGACATCACAAAAGAAGTAAATTTTCGAGCTATTATCAGATTGCCATTTGTGGGAGTTTGCTGAGCACAAATTAACTTCAATGTTTCTGACATAATTCCAGACAATACTTCAAAAATATTTAATTTGTTTTAAACACTTTAAGATGTCTGGTGGCCATGAAAAGTACAAAATAAATGCAAGTCTTTCTATCTTTTTATAACATTTACTAAATAAATTTGACATTGCCCTACTTTTAAAATATTTTATCAGGTCATTTGTATTTATTAGTTAATTTATTTTAATATTAAAGCAGCTGCCACAGATGGGGGAATGGGTGGGTGGGACTGTACTGTGTCTCAACTGATGATGAGATGGAGGGGAGGAGGCTAGTTGATTATGGTGGCATATCTGGTTATAGCCTTTCCACTTTCAACCGAATTCAGTTACCACCATTCGAGGCCCTTAAGTGGCCAATTAATGACCATGTTAGGGCTTTTTTAAAAATTGAATTCAAATTCACCATCTGCCATATTGGGATTCAAACCCATGACCCCAGAGTATTAAACTTGGCCTCATGGATCGTTAGTCCAGTGCCATTGGGATTTCACCACTACATTTCCTCACTTCAGGCTTCAGCCCAGCGCTGCAAATATTAACCAGCTGCAGGCAGCATCACTCGACAGCACGGGAGGGGGGAGATGTACTTTTATTCAAACCACTCAAACAGCTGATTCCTGCTTGCCCCTGGGATCGAGGGAAGGCCAGCTGGTGATCTCACCACTCTCTGTCCTGCTTGTGGTCTGGTCGACCTTCCCATATACAGACAGAGTGCACCTCATGTCAGCTCTCCTGGTCGCTAGGTGAGATCCCACATGCCATCACATAGTTCCACCATGATCTCAGTATTGCTGAGCTAAGACAAGAAAACTGATCTGGGGCTCTCTATCATTGGGTGCTAGATGAGCATGGATGGTGACTGAGTTGCTTGTGATGCCTTCTGTAGTCGGATAACCTGCTGCTGTTTTGTCCAGATTCATACTTGAACTTCAATGACCTGGCTGAGGCATCAGAGCTGTATCCAAGCAGATGCACAGCTTTCAAGAGCAGAAGAGAGGGATGGTGGTTAATTATACCTGGTCTCAGATCTGGAACTGAAGGATGTTTGCCCTTTGACTGTTCATCAACCAAACTTCTACAGATGCACCACTGTCCGGGTGCATAACGGCCTGGAAAGGCAACTGCTCTGCCCAGGACCATAAGAAACTACAGCAGGTGGTGTGCACAGCCCAGACCATCACGGAAGCCAACCTTCCATCCATGGACTCTATCTACATGGCTCACTGCCACAGAAAGGCAGCCAACATCATTAAAGACCCATCACACCCCAGTAATGACTTCCTACAACCTCTTCCGTCAGGCAGAAGATACAGAAGCCTGAACACACGCACAAGCAGGTTCAGGTACAGCTTCTTCCTGGCTGTTATCAGACTGTTGAATGGACTCTAGCCTCTAATAATGTAACCTGTATGCCTCTTAAGTCTTTTTCATCTGCACATCCTTTGCTTATTGTGATCTGCCTGTACCGCTCCTAAAACAAAGCTTTTCACTGTATTTCGATACACGTGACAATAAATAAGCAATCTTAACAAGAACTGGCCTCTTTTCTACATAGAAAGTTCAGATATACACTACACGTTAACAGAAAGGGGGCGGCGGGGGAAGGTGTTGAATCCAGAGCCATCTCCCAGCCCCAGACACCGGGACCGTTTTACTGGTCCCCACATTGAGTTCACATGAGGAACAGCTTCGGGTGTTTTCCCGTCAGGCTCTCCCCAGCGGCCAGCCACAGTGTGCTGTGTAGGCGCACAGTAAATTCAGGAATGATTTGAAGGTATGGTTTTGTTTCTTTCACGGTTCCACAAAAGTGGGCGGTGACAGACTTTGTTACAGAATGTATTTTACTGACCCCCCCGCCCCATTTCCAATTACTTCAATCCATGAAGGACCCTCATTTTCCATTATTAATATTTAACGGAGTGACAGCGCCTGCAGATATTGATAAGAACTAAAATACTATTTAGTTAATCACTAAACAAAGCGCCCTTTGCCGCGGGGGGGAGGGAGGGGGTGAGAGCAGGACTGACTGAGGGGGAATGTAGTCACTTGTACAAACTGCCTTTACAAATAGACATTGTGCTCCATTCATTCCCCACCTGCAAGCACCTGTCCTCCGCCGCCTTCTTTTCCACTTCTGCCTGGTCAGCTTTGTCCATTGCATTTTCTTTTTCCAGTTTCAACATTTGCATCTTCTTCTTAAGGGCATCCATGGTGCTCTGATTGCTTTAGTCTTTAGTTTGGAGTTCTTGTTTTTTTAAAAGATGAAAAGGAAAGCCAACCCTGTGTGGGAGTTGACTGGAGCAGAGTGTGAGATTTACTGCTGCAGAGTTTTACCCTGAAGTGAGTGGCGGCTGAGGCAGTGCTGGAGAAATAAGGAGCCGGGGGGGGGGGGGGGAGGCTGGATTTCTGAGCGAATCGAACCGAAATCCAATGACTTCTTTTGGAAAGGACTGAAAGGATGGTGGCGAGTGTGAGAGGGGGCGGTGCTGTGCCACATCGCAGAGACGGGACGTGGCCTCTTTGTCAGCTCCAACTCTGCCCGTCTTTGGGAGTCTCTGACTCAGTGAAATTCAGCCAGATGGAGAGAAAGGAATGTGCCTGCTTCTGCTCTTTATACAAAAAGAAACCCCATGTCTATGGTTCAGTCTCTTAGCACAAACAGGCTGCGAGAATTCTCCAGCTCAGCTCTGTGACCCCAGGCGGCCTTTATACTTCTTAATGTATCGCCCAAGGCCAATGAGCAACTATTACTGAATTGTCCTTAATAAGTCGCACATTTCTATTCCGTTCCTTTTTACTTCATCCTTTAATCCACTTAATAGTCTTCATCCTTTCAGCTTTGACTGGTCTGTGTCTGTACTTTGGTAATGAGTAAGGACATTGTAGCCCGCAAGTAAATTGCAAAGTTTTTGCCTCCAGTTTCAAATGCCCTCAGTCTCCTGTCAAGAGATGCAGAAGAAAGGCAGATCAATGGGGTTGAGGTACTGATAAACCATGATCTAATTTGAATGGTGGAAAGTTTCTGTCTGCCTTACTCCTGTTCCTCTGCTCTCCCTTCTATGTAATTGGATGTTTTACAGTTGCTACAAATCACAGCAAGATCCAGTGAGCATACACCACCAGGTTAATGATCAGGTCACAGCACCAACTCCATTCTTCCATTCTTCCACTGTTGATTTCATCCCTGTCAATGCTGCCCTCATAGGCAGATCAAACCTATTTACCATTTGTGTGTCCCATTTGAGTCTGTGCTGAGGTCTAAATCTTTTCCATTCAAAGAGAGCTTTGATCTCTGTAATCACTTGGCTCCTCAACCCATTGTACCACCAAGACACACATCCATGCTTATTTGTATCCAGAGATTATTCCAATACTCTCCTAAGTAATCTCCCATTCCCTGCACACAGCACGCCCCCTCCCCCCCCCCCCCCCCCCCCAAGAATCTTTCCCCAGCCCTTAGGAAAGTTGAAATTGGGAGACAATCTTGCAATTTACTTGTGGGGTACATTGCATTTTGGGGATGCAGACAAATTAGGGCTGGAGGGATGGACACTTCCATGTGGATTAAAAGAAGGAATAAAACAGAATGAAATAGAAATGTTAAGGATAATTTAAGTTGCCCGAATTCTACCGTGTTCCCACTCACTAGGCTTTCCTGGCCTTGCTGACCTGTACTGACTCCTGCTCATCCAGTGCCTTCAGTTTAAAATTCTCATCTTGAAACTTAAATTCTGTCAATCTTGGCCCTTCACTCTGTCTGTACTTTCCGCTGTACTGCACCGTCCACTAACCTTGCAAGAGCACCATCCTCCTCCAACTCTGGCACCTTGCCATCCCCGACTGAATTCGTTGTCCTTTCAACTGTTGATGTTCTAAGCCTTTGAATAATTTTCTAAGTCTGTACAACAGTCCTCATTCAAGACTCTCCTCAAAACCAATTTCTTTGAGTGAGCTTTTAATAATCCCTTTCATATTTATTGGCTTGGCACCAGTTTTAGTCAGCTAATATTTATGTAAAGAGTTGTAGGTGCTAGAAAAATGCAAGTTGTTGTTGTTGTTCCCTGCTATCTGCAGATCACCGATAGAGATGTGTCCCAGTGAATACAACCCCACCATCTGAAACTCTTTTTTAAAATCATTTCATTCCTGCTACCGCTCCTCTTCCAGTTTCTAATTCTTATTTAAGTACATCTGCAGTTCCTTTTCTGGCTGTCCGATTGTGGAATGCAAAGTCAAGGCACCTGAAACGATTTCATTTGTATGGGAGAATTTAGTCTGAACAGAAATTGTAAATAGTTAAAACACCTGATGCTTTTCAGTTCAGTGGTATTGTTAGGATAACAAATTTTCAGGCACATAATTCTGCAGCTAGTTCGCCTTGAAATCATCAATTACTCGTGGTAATGATCTATTTTTCAAAATAGGTAAATGTGATAGATGTAGTCTTTAAGCCTCTGACAGGATTCTAAATCCTACATTTACCTGCTACATCTCTCGTGCTAAATCCTTTGTCAATTATTAATCATTTTGACTTGAATAAGCAAGCGAGGCATTAAATTATATTCTGCTTAATTGCAGTTACTTGGAGTCATAGAGTGATAGAGATGTACAACATGAAAACAGACCCTGTGGTTCGACTCGTCCATGACAACGAGATATCCTAAATTAATCTACTCCCATTTGCCAGCATTTGGCCCATATCCCTCTAAACCCTTCCTATTCCTATACCCATCCAGATGCCTTTTAAATGTTGTAATTGTACCAGCCTCCACCACTTCCTCTGGTAGCTCATTCCACAGACGCACCACCCTCTGTCTGAAAATGTTGCCGCTCAAATCCCTTTTAAATCTTTCCCCTCTCACCTTAAACCTGTGCCGTCTAGTTTTGGTCTCTTCTACCCTGTGGAAAAGACCTTGACTATTCACCCTATCCATACCTCTCATGATTTTATACACCTCTATAAGGTCACCCCTCAGCCTCTGACACTCCAGGGAAAATAGTCCCAGCCTATTCAGCGTCTCCCTATGCTCAAATCCTCCACCCTGGCAACATCCTTTTAAATGATTTCTGAATCCTTTCAAGTTTAACAACATCTTTCCTATAGCAGGGAGACCAGAACTGAATGCAGTATTCCAATAGTGGCATAACCAATGTTCTGTACAGTCGAAACGTGACCTCCAAACTCCTATAATCAATGCACTGACCAATAAAGGCAAGTATACCAAACATCATCTTCACTACTCTGTCTACCTGCGACTCCACTTTCAAGGAACCACGAAGCTGCACTTCAAGGTCACTGTTCAGCGACTCTCCCCGGGCCCTTACCATTAAGTGTTTTTTGTAAGATAGAAAACCATATGGCCCAGCTCAAAAGTAAGGTCATAGATTTACAGTTTTATGGTTGCTTTTATGGCTCAAGCTAATGTTAATTTGTGCTAACACTTGTGGGAATGCTTCAAGGTAAAAGGCTTTTATCAAAGAAGCAACTATGTTTTAAAATGATTTGGTTTTGAAACTGAAAGTATGTAACATAACTATGGTTTTATATACATGTAAATGTGTGCACAGATATTACTTTGGAATTTGGTGAGTTTTGTATTGTTGTGGTTATGTTTTTAGATGTACAGCTGGGACATTTGGGATAATAGTTAATCACTGGGAGGTTATATTCTAAGTAGATGTTTTCACTGTTTACTGGCATTTCCTTATCTTGGCCAAGATCTATGGAGTTGGTAAGCTCAGAGAAATAAATTGTTACAAAAGAGATGATCTTACATTCTAATGTCAAACAATTTATCAGGAGATAAGGAAGTGCTGTGATTAAGAAGGCCGTTATTTTTAAAGAAACCAATTGAGCAGACACTATTTAGCCAATACAGGATTGACCATGAACTGTTCATGCACTAACAAGCCCATGTAGAGTTCAGTATGTCTCTGATCATGCGCAGAGGTCAGTGGCTTGCAATGGTTATTAAATGGTGATTGCTTGGTCTTCCTTTCTGTTGCATTGAAACCCAAGACAGAAGGCAAACTTTAGTCAACAGGAGACCTGTGCCTGGTCAACTGGTATCACAAACTGGCATCCTGAAGTGCACCAACTGATAAAAAAAATACACTGCTTTTATTATGTACATTTTTTATTTGCTATGACAAACTTAATAAATTCTGTAAATCATGTGAAATCATATATGTACCTGGAATGAACTTGTAATTAATGAGGAGCAAAAAACAGAGGTTGCTGGAAGAGCTCAGCAGGTCAGCAGCATCTGTGAAGAAAAAAATCATAGTTAGTGTTTCGGGTCCAGTGACCCTTCCCCACTAACTAATGAGGACTAGTAAACTTTTAAAACTCAGTCCATAGTTGTAATAGAGTTAGGACTCATGTTTAAAGTTAAAGTGTACACCAAAGTTGGACACCTGCCCTTCCAATCCTCTGACTCTTTCTTTATTTGGTCTTAGCAGGGGGTTGCTTATTTTCCACTTTCCAGCTGACAGAGGATGCACACTTGAAACATCAATCTGTATTTCCTCTTTTACATGCTGCCAGACTTGTTGCATATTTCCAGCATTCTTGGTTCAGAATTCACCGTGTACAATTTATCTTAAGCTGATAATTCTGTCTTTTGCATCTTTGTAATTTTACATCAAGCATCCCTATCTCCAAAATTCTTAAGTTGTGACATTTGCACATTCATGAAGAACTAGAAACATCACGGCTGTGATGCACAGTACTAAAGCCGACAGGAATTCATTTGCCATTCTTATTAAGATTACACGTCTGTTACTGATTAAAACAAATCACATTTATGTTTTTCACAATCACCAAATGCCCTAAAGTTCTTTGGAACTAATTTGGTGTTTTCTTTGACGTGTAGTCACTGTTGTAACATGGAAATGCAGTAGCCAATCTGTGCACAGCCAACACACACAACAGCAACGTGAGAGTGGAAATAATCTGCCTCTCATGATATTGATCGAGGGAAAAATATTAGCAAAGACCCCAATGATAACTCCTTAGTCTTCAAAACAATGCCTTGAAACCTTTTACATCTTCACAAACAGTTAGACAGGGCCTCAGTTACCAGCCAAACGACGATGCATCGCTCCCTCAATACAGCTCTGGCGTGTAAACTTTGTTGACCCTGAACACAGAACCTTCGATTCAGAGGCAAACAATTGAACAACAGCTCAGACAAACATTGAGACTTTGGTCACAAATTTCAGCTAAATTTCCATTTCACATTGTGTGTGTTCCAGTGAACTCAAATGTCAAAATTTATGCATTTCAACTTTGATATTCAATAGGATGTTAAGTCATTGTTTTTTCATTATCACTTACTTTCTAGTCCAAGTTCTTAATGTATTAAGGAAAAAGGGGTTAAT